AGGTCAAATGGCATACCCTCGTCATCAAAAGGTATACCCACCTCTCAATCCTCCAATGGTCTTTAGGGATCGTTACACTCCAAATCTATATAATGCACCCACTTGCATTCAATTACCAAATTTTCATGCTCATCATTATGAGATTAAGGCTTCTATCATTAACATGTGCCCCCTTTTCTATGGGTTGAGCAATGAAGAGCCTTATAAATATTTAGATGAATTCTTGGAAGTTTGTTCCACTGTGAAAATCATGGATGTGCCGGAAGAAGTCCTTAAAATGAAGCTTTTCCCTTTCACTCTTCGGGATAAAGCTAAATATTGGTTTAACAACTTGGGGTCAAATACAATCACCTCTTGGGCACAATTGCTCCAAGAGTTCCTAAAGAAGTACTTCCCCGCAAGTCAAACTGATTCCATGAGAACTTCCATTCGTGAATTTGCACAAAAAGAAGGAGAACCCCTTCATGAAGCATGAGAACGTTTGAATGACTTGCTACGGAAGTGTCCACATCATAACATTCCTAAGTGGCAATTAGTTCAATGTTTCTTTTCAAGTTTATCTGATGCCAATAAGGGCATTGTTGATGCTTCGTGTGGAGGCAGCTACATTGAAAGAAATGGGGATGAAATTTGGCCTCTTTTAAAAAAAAATGAGTGAATACTCGATGCATAGATCTTCATCTTCTAGGGGGGTCGCCTAAGCAAATCTGGGAGGGAAGAAATATCTAAATGAAATAGACTTTTCCATGGAAATTGCCGCCGAGGTCAAAAATCTTACTTAAAAGTTTGATAAATTCCTTTTGAATCAAGGTCTGACAATTCAATCTTATTCCCATCATTCCAATGAAATGTGCATGACTTGTTCTAGTTACACTCACCATACTTCAAATTGCCCTCTTGGACAAATCATACCAAGAGAGTCTCAAGAACAAGAAAATGCCACTTTCATTCATCAATGGAACAACCCTTATTCCAATACTTACAATCTGGGGTGGAAGAATCATCCAAACTTTGCATGGAAAAATCAAGGAGATGGTACAAACCCTCCTTAAACTCAAGGTTACCAACCAAACTATGTTCCCCTACATCTCCAAAATTAGAATTCTCAAGGTTACCATCCTTCATTTTATCCTCAAAATGTGAATCAATATTTTCATCCTCAAGCATCAAATTACCAATCTTACTCTTATCCTCAAATTCTCAATCTTACTCTAATCCAAATCAAACGCCTCCTAAGAGTCCCGCTTTTGAACACAAGGTCTTGGAAGCCTTAGGTGATCCTCGAAAAGATGATCAATTGTTTTATTCTCACTCTCAATCAATTACAAAGCTTGAAGTTCAAATCGAGCAATTAGCTAATTCTTTAAATGTGAGATAGAAAGGTAAGTTACCTAGTCAAACTGAGAGTAATCCTAAGGGGCAATTTATAGCACAAGCAAGTCCTTTATCAGGATTTTCTGGAAATAAGCAAGTTCAAGAAATTATTACCTTGAGGAGTGGTAGGAAAGTGGACAATAAGGTATAGGTACCTAAGGAGGATAGTGAACTGGCACAACCAAGTGGTTACATCTGTCCCATTTAAAATCCTATTCCTACTTCCTTGGATGACAGTGGTTCCAAAAAGGACATTCCATCATCTTCATTATCATCTCCTCAATTAGAGAAGCCTTATGAGCCAAAGGCTCTATTTCCTTAAGTATTGAGAGAGACTTCATCATTTTGGAGACAAGAAGGAAAAATTCATGACATATGCAAAGTTCTTGAAGGACTTGTGCACTCAAAAGAGGAAGAGCGAAGGAAAGGATCTTAAGAAAGTGCTTCTAACTGAACAAGTTAGTTCCATTCTTCTTTTTAATACTCTTCCTAAGTTCAAGGATCTGGGTGCTCTGACTATTTCTTATGTTATTGGAAACCAAGAGGTTCGTAGAGCTCTCATTGATTTAGGTGCAATCATTAATCTCATTCCATACTCTGTTTACTTGCAATTAGGATTAAGGGACTTAAAGCCAACATCAGTAGTGATCCAACTAGTTGATAGATCAATTAAGAAATCCAGGGGTATTGTTGAGGACATCTTAATTAAGGTTGATAAGTTCTATTTCCCGGTTGATTTTGTGGTACTTGATACTGACCCCAGTCCTTAATCTTACCAATCACATTCCAGCCATACTAAGAAGACCATTCCTTGCCATTGCCAATGCCACCATTAATTATAGATCCGGTATTATGGACATCTCTTTTGGCAACATGATGGTTAAGCTTAATGTATTCAATGTGAGTCAACATCCCACAGATGAAGACGAGTGTTTCCTAGTGGATGTCTTGGATGGAACCATAGAGGAGACTCTTCCCTCTATTCTCTCTAAGGACCCTATTGAGGCGTGCCTTTGTGAAATGTTTAAAAATTACAGTTTTGACACAGAAGAATCTATAAATGAGGTAAATGCTTTGATAGACACTGTGGCCACTTTAGATTATCCACCTTGGAAAAGCAAGAAAGAGCCTCTTCATTCACTCTCTAGTACTCCACCAGTTCTTTCTCTTATCTCTCATCCTACTCTTGTGCTTAAGCTTTTTCCATCCAATCTCAAATACGCTTTCTTGGGCCCAAAATAGACTCTTCCGGTCATCATCACTTCAAATCTTGAAAATGACCAAGAGAATAATCTTTTGGAAGTGCTTAAAGCTAACAAAGAAGCTACTGGATGGAGTGTGCCTGACCTAAAAGGCATTGACCCTTCTATTTGTATGCATTGCATACACATGGAAGAGGATGAAAGGCCATTGAGGAATGCTCAAAGGAGATTAAACCCGAATATGAAGGAAGTTGTCAAGAAGGAGGTTTTGAAACTTCTAGATGCGGGAATCACTTATCCAATCTCTAATTCCAAGTGGGTTAGTCCAACTCAAGTGGTTCCCAAAAAGTCGGGAATCACAGTTGTTGAAAATGCTAAGGGTGATCTCATCTCGAAACGCACTGCCACTTCGTGGCGTGTATGCATTGATTACCGAAAGCTAAATTCTGCCACTAGGAAGGACCATTTTTCATTGCCTTTCATTAACCAAATCTTGGAAAGATTGGTTAGGCAACAATATTATTGCTTCCTAGATGGTTACTCGGGGTATAATTAAGTGGCTTTAGACCCATTGGACCAAGAAAAGACCACCTTCACATGTTCCTTAGGTACATTTGCTTATCGACGGATGCCTTTTGGATTGTGCAATGCTCCTACCACTTTTCAACAGTGTATGATGTCAATTTTTTCGGACATAGTGGAGAAATATTTAGAAGTCTTCATGGATGACTTCTCAGTTTTTGGGTCCTCTTTTGATTCGTGTCTCCAAAATCTCTTAAAAGTGCTTCAAAGATGTCATGAGACTAATATCATGTTAAGTTGGGAAAAGAGCCATTTCATGGTTCAAGAAGTTGACAACGCAAAAGTTGAGCTAATTTTCACCTACTATAGTGAGAGAAATCCGCTCCTTTCTAGGTCATACTGATTTTTATCGCCGATTCATCAAAGACTTTAGCAAAATTATTGGACCCTTGTGCAATCTTTTTGCCAAGGAGATACTTTTTGTCTTTGATGAAGCATGCCTAAATGTTTTTCATCAACTTCGCACACTTCTATCATCCACTCCCATCATGCAACCTCCAAATTGGTCCTTACTATTTGAGATTATGTGTGATGCTTCCGACTTCGCAATGGGTGTTGTTTTAGGGCAAAGGGTAGGTAAGCTACTGTGTGCTATATACTATACGAGTAAGACTTTCTCAGGTGCGCAATTGAACTATTCTACCACCGAGAAAGAATTACTTGACGTAGTATATGCCCTTGATAAATTTCGGTCATATCTCTTAGGATCTAAGGTTATTGTGTTTTCCGATCATGTCGCTTTTAGGCATCTTTTAATGAAAAAGGAAATCAAACCTCGCTTGATAAGATAGATCCTACTTCTTCAAGAATTTGACTTTGAAATTAAGGACAAAAAGGGCTCCGATATTGTCATTGCCAATCATCTTTCTAGATTAATCTTCTCAAAATTTTCTAATTCATGAATCATTTCCGGATGAACAACTCTTTTAAATCTCAAATGGGACGTTACCTTAGTTCGTCGACATTGTTAACTATCTTGCAACCGGCAAACTTCCTATTAATGGGTCAAAACAAGAAAAGGACCGATTCTTTGCTAACATCTGAAAATACTATTGGGAAGATCCCATTTTATTTCGTTATTTCCCGGATCAAATCATAAGGAGATGTGTGCCGTAAAGTGAAGTTCCGAGCGTCCTTGTGTTTTGTCACACACTTGCTTGTGGTGGACATTTTAGTGGGAAAAAGACCGCTTTGAAGGTTCTTTAAAGTGGGGCACTTCTGGCCTACTATCCACTAAGATGCCTATAACTTTTGCAAGGTGAGTGTTCGGTGCCAAAAGTTATGATCAATGTCAAAGAGAGACATAATGCCCTTAACTTCAGTTTTTGTAGTTGAAATCTTCGATGTATGGGGCATAGATTTTATGAGACCATTCCCAATGTCTTATGGGTTTCAATACATTCTTGTTACATTGATTATGTGTCAAAGTAGGTTGAGGCTTATGCTACCAAAATGAATGACCACTCCGTGGTAATTGTATTTGTCAAATCAAACATTTTTGCTCGTTTTGGTATGCCAAGGGTCATGATAAGTGATGGAGGAAAATATTTTTGTAATCAATTTTTGAAGCAACTCTTTTTGAAATACTCTGTCACACATAAAGTGGCCACTCCCTACCATCCCCAAACAAGTGGGTAGGTTGAGGTATCTAATAGGGAAATAAAGCATATTCTTGAGAAAATAGTTAATCCGACCAGAAAAGATTGGTCAAGGAAATTGAATGATGCGTTGTGGGCTTATCAAACAGCTTGCAAGACTCCAATAGGCATGTCTCCATATAGACTTGTTTATGGGAAGCCTTGTCAACTTCCGGTTGAGCTAGAACACAAAACACTTTGGGCAATGAAAAGGCTCAACCTTGATCTTGATCAGGCTGGAAAGGACCGTTTGCTCCAACTCAATGAGCTAGAAGAATTGAGAAATGATGCCTATGATGGTTCAAAAATCTACAAGGCATGGACTAAAACATTTCATGATAAACATATTGTGAAAAAGTCCTTTGAGGCCTGGCAAAAGGCTTGGTTATTCAATTCTAGGCTCAAATTCTTTCCTAGAAAGCTTCGAACCAAATGGGAAGGCTCTTATCTAATCATCTTCGTCTCACCTTATCAGGCAGTTAAACTTCAAAATCTAAAAGATGAAGGAACCTTCAAGGTTAATGGTCAAAGGCTTAAACCATACATTGATGGCCAAGCTCTTCAAAGAAATGTGGAATCTGATCTCTTGGTGGATCGCATTTACTTTGAAGATTGAGAGTATTTCACGTCTTTCTAGCAACGTTAAACACTAGTTATGCCCCTAGCTCCCTGCTGCAAGCATGGCTTTCGCAGCGCGCAAGCCATGGCATCCCGTGTCGGACGTCAATACTTGCGTCTAGACGCCATATTGTATATTAAAATAAAAATAAAAATTCAAAGTAGCATTTCGTTTTGCTAGAGATGTTAAACTTAGCCCACTTGAGACATGATGTGTCTTCTGTCCATTTCATTTTGTAGGTTGTATATGCAATAGCCTTTTTTTTTGCATATATATATATATATATATATATATAAATGTTTTCCCATTATGCCCTTCTGCATAGTTATGCATGTTTTCATTCTTATAAGGGTTTCATCTCATATCTCTTTGCATCGTGTTCTATATTGTTTTGGAATATATGATTCTTATCCCATTTGATATTTAATGTGAGTTAGTAGGTTTTTGTATCCAAGTTTGGGGGCGACCTATTTCATAATGGATCATTGCCAGGCTTCATAGACTTTTGCCATCATAGTATACTCTTTCCATCATTTTTCATTATTCTTATTGCACATTAAGGACAATGTACAGTTTAAGTTTGGGGATAAGGTCATCATGATTCATTTTATTTTAAGTTGAGTTTTAAATGCATGATGAGATTTGTGATATATTGATAAGCGCCGAATATTGCATATTCAAGTGCCCTTATTTGCATTAGTCAAGTCCATCAGTTGATAATAATGTATAGTTTAGCTTTATTTGTTTGCTTTCGTCTACTTTTAGGTTGGTTCCCCCGAATATGATTAAAAGAGCGGTTTTGACACGCCGTTGCTGGGGACCGTTATTTGAGCCAAGTTTCTTGAGTCAGCATGTGTGCGAATTTTGCGGCATTGCATTAAAAATGACGGCCATGTCACCAGACCAATCAAAATGGTTAGCGCCTGCCAAACACTCCAGTAGCCTCTTGTCCCCGCCGGCCCCCGCTATAGCCCCGCCGGTCCCTGCTATCCAACACCACGGGCGCCCGTCGCATTCTCGTGGGTGCCCGCCAAACACTCCAGTAGCCTCCTTTGAGACTTAAGCACCCGCGAACGCTCGCCAGCGCCCTGCGGGCACCCAATGATCTGCAGAGAGCAGACCACTTGCCCCTAATTTCAAGTTGCATTTTGTCCCCTATGCATTTTGTGTGGTTCTAATTGTTTATAGGGAGTTGGTGCTCGAAATTTAGTGGTTGAAGGAAGGATTTTGCCTAGATATGAGGGGGGAAGCATGTATTATGAAGGATCTCAACTTTGGACCAAGTTTTAGAGAGAGAAAGTAATGTTTGGAGGTTTTGAGTTGTAGCTTGCTTAAGGTGAGAAAATGGAGGGTGGAGACTCTTCTTCTCCTTCATTCCTTGCATCCATGGGTAACTAAATCCCTATCTAGGGAGGTGATGAAGCTCTCCCTTGTAAGCATGTTTTAGCTTAGCTTCTATTTTGGGGATAATAATGTATACTTTTGGTCTTTCCATGATCTAGAGCCCCTTACTTGTTGTAATGGATTCCAATGTCTATAAATGATTATTCTAAGTTAATTATCTAGTCTTAGATGGTTTTTTTTATTAATCATATCGCTTGGATTTTCATAGGGATAATGAAAATAAGGTTATGGAATGGTTTTAATGGCATATTGATAGAGAACCTTGATAGTCCATTGCTTAAGTTTTCCCTTTGATGGTTTATGCTTGATTCCTAACTTCATGTGCTTCATCATTTGATTAGGGGCTTGATAATCCTTGCTTAAGTGAGTATGTTTAAGGCTACACCCTAGTTTAGGTAGTTCAAATTATGAACCTTTGATGGATTATTCTTGCTTTATGATTTAATGAACTTCTTGACAATGATATGGCAACCAGACGTTGCTATATATTTTATGACCAGTATATATATTGTCTATCCCCAATTTAGTCTTTATCTAGCATGTGTATAGGGTTGGTAGTGGATTCACTTCCCTAGCCCCTTTACATTATCTTTAACTTTTTAACTCTTTGTCATTTATCATTTATGCAAATTAAATTTCTCATTTTAGTGACAACTGAACAAACCTATATAACCTTTCATCATTTTAAAAGTGATTTTAGACACCTTGGTTGCCATAAACTAGCAGTCCCAGTGGTTCGACTTACTCGACCAATAGCCCTATTTTACAATGATTTGTGCTATTGCAAAGGTTAATGTATAATTGACAACCGATCAATTTTTGGCGCCATTGCCGGGGATGACGATCGGTTTTGCAACCGAGGTTCTAGGATTAACTTTCGTTTGGTTGTGAATATTGTGATCTTGTAGATATTTTCTTGTTGGTTTCGACTAATTTATATTTCAAGTATTCTAGTGAGATTCTAGGTATTCAAGGCTTGCTGAGGGAAGCTAGCAAATTTGTAAGTCTAGACGACTTCAGGTAAGTTTTCAAAGCTCTAGTTTCAAAGTTGTGAATATCATGTATGTGTTTAGATTAGATATGCTTAATTGTGAAGCCTTTGTCGAGGCTATTTATTGTTTCTTTATATTGCAAAGCATCGGTCCTTGTCTTGGCCATTTAATTTCTGTCTTTGATAATTGAGGAGAACAGGAACATCGTATGTGGAGGTTATGGTGATGCATTGTTGTCTTGATTGTGTTGTGCTTTGTTGATGTTTGGCCGTAGATCACTTTCCTTATCGACTATTGACTCGCCAGTTGACATAAATTCACTTGAAAGGACTCTTAGAAGAAACCTTAGGGAATCTGCTAACATAAGAGGAATTGAACTTGAATTTAATACAATGGCCAGTAATGAAGAAAATTTAGGGAATGAGGGAATCAATAATAATGGGGCTGAAATTTCAAATGTGGTTCCCATGACTCTTCGGAACCATTTCATCCCTACCACTTATGCTTCTCCCTCTTGTATAGTGATGCAAATATTAAAGCCGCTCAATATGTAATCAAATCTAATACAATTCAAATGCTTCCATCCTTCCATGGCTTTGACAATAAGGATCCCTATAAGCATCTTGATGAATTCCTTGAAATTTGTTTTACCATCAAAATGAGGGGTTTCCCTGAGAATGCACTCCACTTACGTCTATTTCTATTCTCCTTGAAAGATAGGGCAAAGTATTGGTTAAACTCCCTTGTTGCAAACTCCGTCACATCATGGGCCCAATTACAACAAAAATTTCTAAAGAAATATTATCCAGTGAGTAAAACCAATCAAATGAGGCTCTTCATTCTTAGTTTTTCTCAAATTGATGGAGAACAACTCCATGAGACTTGGGAAAGATTACAAGATCTTCTTAGGAAATGCCCGCACCATCTAATTCTAAAATGGCAATTAGTGCAAGCCTTCTATGATGGTTTAACTGAACCACATAGACTCATGGTTGACTCCTCATGTGGAGGAATGTTCATGTCTAAGAATGCGGACGAGGCTTAGACCTTACTCAAGAATTTGAGTGAAAATTCATTGCAACATAATTCTCATAGGGCTCCGATCTCAACCAATGCTATGAACACCAATCCTTGTCAACCAAAAACAATGAGGGAAGAATCTTCTCAAGTGGATGCCATAGCTCATAAATTTTATCAATTAATGGCACCATATCTCTCTTCCTCTTTCTCTCAAAACTCGGCAAGTACAGTGTGTGCATCATGCATGAGTCCCTTCCATCTCTCGGAAGATTGCCCCACACCGGAGCAATTTCCTAATCCCAATCATGAGGAAGTAAATGCGAAGTTTTCCAGATCTGGAAACAATCCTTATTCTAATACCTATAATCTAGGCTGGACAGATTATCCGAATTTTTCGTGGAGGCAACCTGCCTCACAAAATTCGAACTTTCAGAATCAAGGGCATCAAAATCAGCCCCCTTCTCAATTTCAAAGTAGGCCATTTCAGGCCTTGTCAAGCTACCGTCCCCCTTAAAATCCAAATGTCTCTAATCAACCTCCTCCGTTTCCAACTGATGAGATTTTGGTTGCAAACAAGCAAATGATGGAATCTCTAAACAAGCAAATGATGGAATCCAATAAGTAATTGTTGACATCATTGCAGCCCACTCTCCAAATGGTTCATTCTCATACTCAGTCTATTGCTAAACTTGAGAATCAAGTGGGGCAAATAGCCACTTCAATGAACCAACTTCTTTAAAGAGATAAGGGGAAGCTTCTCGCACAACCATTTGAGAATCCTAGAGGGATTCATGTGATTGACGAAACCCCTCCTCCGAGTGGGCCAACTCATGAACAAGTCCAAGCAATCACCACCCTTCGAAGTGGTCGAGTTATGGATAACAAGGTTGATGGAAGAAACAATGAAAAAGTTCTTCCTCCCGAAAATCCAAATCTCCTCTCTTCTAATCCAAAGTTCACTCCTAAAAATCTAAAATCTGATGTTAAAAATTCCAAGCTTGTCACCCCAAATATGGAGACATCTTATGAGCCCAAGGCTCCGTTTCCTCAACGTCTCCAAGAGTCGACACATTTTGGGAACAAGAATTGCAAAATTTAAGACATGTGGGAAGTTTTCAAGCAAGTAAAGATCAACTTGCCTCTCTTGGATGCTATTAATCAAATCCCTCCCTTTGCAAAATTTCTCAAGGATTTATGCACTCAAAAGCGCACATCCAAAAATCATTTGCCAAATAAGGTAAGATTGACTGAGAATGTGAGTGCAATCATTCAACACAGTGCTCCTCCAAAGTATAAGGATCTGGGCGACCCAACAATCTTGTGTGTCATTGGCGACAACAAGATAGAGAGGGCCCTCCTTGACTTAGGAGCTAGTGTAAATTTGATTCCATATTCAGTTTACTTATAGCTGGGATTGGGAGATCTAAAGCCAACCTCCTTGGTCTTGCAACTTGCCGACAGATCTGTCAAGCACCCACGAGGCATTCTTGAGGATGCATAATCAAAGTGGATAAATTCTACTTCCCGGTAGACTTTATAGTGCTTGACACGGAACCGGTCCATGATCTAAAGAAACATATT